GGCCCCTTCCTTTCCCAGGGACCCTTCAAAAACAGGCAAGTGGTTCTCCCTAAGGTCCTTAACCTTTCACTAGTGTTACTTTGTTCTAGTAGCCAAAGATGCTTTCAAAATGAATGCTTGAAATACGTCCCCCACCCATGGCACCACTTGGTGGTACATGTACCACTACAGTCCCATTCTGATAGCGGGAATTGATAGTCCTAGGGGCCCTCTACCTTACCCCAGTTATGATTTGAAGCACACTTCAAAGATAAGGAGAATAATAGCTGACCTTTAACCCGTATATTAAAACACAAAGTGAAAAACAACAAAGTTCAGGTTAGCTTACTGACCCTTTTTCTTCCCGGGACCCTTCAAAAATCTGGCAAGTGGTTCTACCTAAGGTCCTTAACCTTTCACTAGTGTTACTTTGTTCTAGTAGCCAAAGATGCTTTCAAATTGAATGCTTGAAATACGTCCCCCACCAATGGCACCACTTGATGGTACCACTACAGCCCCATTCTGATAGCGGGAAATGATAGTCCCAGGGGCCCTCTACCTTGCCCCAGTAATAATTGAAGCACACTTCAAAGATAAGGGGTATAATAGCTGACCTTTATCCGTATATTAAAACAAAGTGAAAAACAACAAAGTTCAGGTTAGCTAACTGGCCCCTTTCTTTCCCAGGGACCCTTCAAAAACCAGGTGAGTGGTTCTCCCTAAGGTCCATAACCTTTCACTAGTGTTACTTTAAATTTGTTCAAGTAGCCAAAGATGCTTTCAAAATAAATGCTTGAAATACGTCTCCCATCCTTGGCACCACTTGGTGGTACCACTAAAGCCCCATTCTGATAGCGGGAAATGATAGTCCTAGAGGCCCTCTACCTTGCCCCAGTAATGATTGAAGCACACTTCAAAGATAAGGGGTATAATAACTGACCTTAAACCTGTATATTAAAACACAAAGAGAAAAACAACAAAGTTCAGGTTAGTTAACTGCCCCCTTCCTTTCCCAGGGACCCTTCAACAACAGGCAAGTGGTTCTCCCTAAGGTCCTTCACCTTTTACTAGTGTTACTTTGTTCTAGTAGCCAAAGATGCATTCAAAATGAATGCTTGAAATACGTCCCCCACCAATGGCACCACTTGGTGGTACCACTACCCCATTCTGATAGCGGGAAATGATAGTCCTAGGGGCCTTCTACCTTGCCCCAGTAATGATTTGAAGCACACTTCAAAGGGGTATAATAGCTGACCTTTAACCTGTATATTAAAACACAAAGTGAAAAACAACAAAGTTCAGGTTAGCTTACTGACCCTTTTTCTTCCCCGGGACCCTTCAAAAACCTGCAAGTGGTTCTACCTAAGGTCCTTAACCTTTCACTGGTGTTACTTTGTTATAGTAGCCAAAGAGGCTTTCAAAATGAATGCTTGAAATACGTCCCCCACCTATGGCACCACTTGGTGGTACCACTACAGCCCCATTCTGATAGCGGGAAATGATAGTCCTAGGGGCCCTCTACCTTGCCCCAGTAATAATTGAAGCACACTTCAAAGATAAGGGGTATAATAGCTGACCTTTATCCGTATATTAAAACATAAAGTGAAAAACAACAAAGTTCAGTTTACTAACTGGCCCCTTTCTTTCCCAGGGACCCTTCAAAAACCAGGTGAGTGGTTCTCCCTAAGGTCCATAACCTTTCACTAGTGTTACTTTGTTCTAGTAGCCAAAGATGCTTTCAAAATGAATGCTTGAAATACGTCCCCCACCAATGGCACCACTTGGTGGTACCACTACAGCCCCATTCTGATAGCGGGAAATGATAGTCCTAGGGGCCCTCTACCTTGCCCCAGTAATGATTTGAAGCACACTTCACAGATAAAGGGTATAATAGCTGACCTTTAACCTGTATATTAAAACACAAAGAGAAAAACAACAAAGTTCAGTTTAGCTAACTGGCCCCTTCCTTTCCCAGGGACCCTTCAAAAACAGGCAAGTGGTTCTCTCTAAGGTCCTTAACCTTTCACTAGTGTTACTTTGTTCTAGTAGCCAAAGATGCTTTCAAAATGAAAAAAATCACTAGTAAGTTCTGGTTAGCTTCCTGACCCTTTTTCTTCCCCGGGACCCTTCAAAAACCTGGCTAGTGGTTCTCCCTAAGGTCCTTAACCTTTCACTAGTGTTACTTTGTTCTAGTAGCCAAAGATGCTTTCAAAATGAATGCTTGAAATACGTCCCCCACCTATGGCACCACTTGGTGGTACCACTACAGCCCCATTCTGATAGCGGGAAATGATAGTCCTAGGGGCCCTCTACCTTGCCCCAGTAATGATTTGAAGCACACTTCAAAGATAAGGGGAATAACATCTGACTTTTAATCCATATATCAATAGACAAAGTGAAATACAACAAATTAAAGTTCAGGTTTCCTAACTGGCCTTTTCTAGTCATTGAAACCTGTCAAAAAGTTGACAAGGGATACTCTTTTAGGCCCTTAACTTTTTTCCAGTTAAGTGTTAGTTTGTTTTAGTGGTCAATGATAGTTGAAAAATGAAAGCTTGAAATATGTTCCCCACCGTTGGCACCACTTGGTGGTGCCACTACAGCCTCATACCGATTGCGGGAAATGATAGTCCTAGAAATCTATCTTGCCACAGTAATGATTTAAAGCACACCACACTTATAAGATAAGAGGTATGATAGCTGCTTGAAATATGTAACCCACCCTTGGCACCACTTGGTGGTACCACTTCAGCCTAATTTTCATGGCCGTATATATAAGCCCTGCGGACCCTTTACTTTGTGCCAGTAATTGTTCGAAGCACATTTCAAGGATAATAACTTAAAATAGATTAAATTTGGTTCAAACCCTTCTCAATGTAAATATTAGGAGTAAGCAAATTTCAGGTTAGCCTTTTGGCACCATCATGTTTCTGAGACCCGTAAAAAAGCTTAAAAGGGATTCTCCCGGAAGTACTTAACCTATTTCCAATGTTGGTTTGTTCTTAAGCGGTCAAAAATGGTGACATTTTCTCTTTTTTTTTGTTTGTTTGTTTCTTTATTTTTAAAACGCATAATTTTCCTTATGCATGTGAGCTTAACTGCCTCCAAATGTTTGAATTATGAAATAATTAAGTGTTGCATTAATTATCTAATTATCAATTATAAATTGTCGAAAATGAGGCATTAAACAGAATTGCGTGAGAGTACTCTCAGTCCTTTGATGAATTTCCTTATTGGCTGCTAGCTTCTACGGGCTTAATGGCTGCTGTTATTGGCTGCTAGCTTCAGTCTAGTATGTTGACATACGTAAATTCATTTTGATGTTTAATCAATACAGTGCTGAAATTATAGTGCCAAACATTACCATAGTGCTTTAATGATGATTCATTGCATTGTTATCTTATTTAAGATAGGACCCCATTGGAAATAAGCTCTCGAGCTTTCAATATTTGAAGTTAATATTTTCTCAAATTTTCTGTATAATATCATGAATTATATGTTGCTATAGCATTTCACACGGAAATATAATAAAAGCGTGTTCAGAAACTTTTTTTGTCTGGAAATTATTGAAACTACGAAGTTCGGGACGCCTTTGATCGACACATCCTTGTGCTTTCACAAAGTAAACTTTATCCTTAACAGTTAAGAAAAGTAGAAATTTTGTTGTGTATTACTGAAAAATATTAAAACTACAATCCAGAAAATTCAGAGTAGAAATGTAAGAAAGCAAAACCAACTCACCAGTATTGTCAGTCCGTGCTCAGTGATGTGTGCAGAGTTTAACAAATTGAATACATCCATAGAAACGTAAACACTAACAATAACAGAGCTCATACCTTGTTTACAAAAACAGGTGTTTGACAATATGTAAAGAATGTCGTTCTCATTGAATTCTAAGAATATTCATGTAAGTTCAATTCATTTAACTGGTATTATTTTTTGATAAAAGTAGAAATTTAAAATGTAAACAATGCAGCCGTGTCCATGCAGGCCCCTTTAATGGGTTATCCTAGTATCAACCTGTATTTTCTAAAAATGTGGTTACCTGAATATCCTACTTATTTACAAATCTATATAAAACTTTGATTCCTAGATATTGTCTTTCAAAGGATTATGTATAAATATGTGTATTTGTTTTATGTATGATGACTTATGACACCAAAAAAAAAAAAATGATGAAGCTATTGCCCTTCAGTGACAGAATCGTTCGAGAAAGAATGTCCCTAGTAAAGTTTATTTATATAATCATAGAACTCATATCATTGATGATCACGTCACAGTAATATTTTTCAAAGAAAGTTACATGTATATTATTATGTATAAAGGTTTTAAAACGATAAGACTGCAATCACCATTTCTGCAATCACGTCAAACAATATAAGACATACACAATATTGAAAATTGTGTGATGTTGGAGAGAAAAGGGAGTTTTAGTAAAAAGAGTCTGATGCACAAAAATCACAGGCCATTCGTATGCATCATTTTTTATACTACATGATCCCATGGGTAGAGGTTATATTTTATTTGTTTTTTTTATTGTCTTTCATTAAATAAATGTAAGTGAACAGCATTCCCTTTAATGCACGAATCAGGCCTGGTCAACATATAACCCAAGCCCATGTTTTAAGCACTATATATAGTAGATCTTTTACACACTCAAGGAATCCATAGAAAATTATTTGATGCATTGTAAATATGCTGAAGAGCAGCAGTGCCACAACGGACGTACTTGTGAACAGCCCCCCCCCCCTCCCCGATATTCAACCCCCCCCCCCCCCCATATTCAACCCCAGAGTTTGTTGGACGTTTCTTCACAAATTATATTGATTACATTTATTTATCATGTATACAATAGGAAACAACCCAAAATAAGCAGTCCGTACAAAACCCCACTATTTATTATTATACATATAATTTAAAGTGGGATAATGTACACCGCTATGATAGTGCCATTGCATTCCTGATGTTTTCATATATTAACATTCCATTTCTTCAGCAATGTCATTTTAACCTATACCTCATTGAAGCAAATCATTTACAATTTATTGTAGTCTATTTTGTAAATTTTTACACAATGGTCTAAGCTGCAGCTAGCAAATTGCTGAATATTATTGTCTTTCAGATGTGGGCAAAACTGTATTCTCTTCACTGTCAAATGATGTGAAATTCTGCAAAAAAGTAAAAAAAAACTATCTTAAAAAAAATAAAGTAGCAGTCTAATAAAAACTAGTGCAGATTTTGATGGGATTGCTCAGGTAAACAGCCTATTTCTCTTTATAATTTCACAGGAACCAAGCAATCGGATTAAAATCAGCTCCTCGATGCTCCTTTTTTAACAAGACGTCGTTTACCTCATAAGCGACAAGTCATTAAGAATCGAGGATCTGATTTTAATTCGATTGAGGGACAGAGAAGGAACAGAGCTGACAGATTCTACAAAAATACGTCATGGCGTTATAACTCAAGAACTCCTTGTTTGTAATTAAACTGTTCGAGGCATATGTTAGCACCAAAGAAAAATCCACTTATATCTGACATAATGCTTAAAACATAATTAAAATGTTTCTCCGAACCCGAATACCCCCACTGTTGACCTATTGGAGAGCTACAGGTAAATTAAAATTGTATGTGCTTATCTTACTGCTTTGAACTTTGATATTTACCTGGCAATAATGTCCTTTTAATTAGACCAATGATGACTAGTCCTGATTTACTAGTATTTTGAACAATAGGAATCATTGAGCCATAGTTTTATACTGACAAAAAACGAACATAAACTGTGTTTGCCCTTATCTGTCCACCAATCATTTGAGTATCATATGAATATCACCTGTATTAGAAACCTACGAAAGCCGGATAGGCTCAATTTTGACAAGAATAAAAAAAAATTAACTCGTTATAACGAGATAGTTATCTCGTTATAACGAGTTAGGATCTCGTTATAACGAGATAATTATCTCGTTATAACGAGTTAGTTATCTCGTTATAACGAGTTAGTATCTCGTTATAACGAGATAATTATCTCGTAATAACGAGTTAGTTATCTCGTTATAACGAGTTAGTTATCTCGTTATAACGAGTTAGTTATCTCGTTATAACGAGTTAGTATCTCGTTATAACGAATTAGTTATCTCGTTATAACGAGATAATTATCTCGTTATAACGAGATAATTATCTCGTTATAACGAGTTAGTTATCTCGTTATAACGAGACAGTTTTCTCGTTATAACGAGATAGTTTTCTGAATAAAAATGGCTGTAGTTTTTAATGCCATTAAATTTTTAACTAGTAATTATCAGTCAAACTTAACTTGAACAATTTATAAATGGTAGAAAATTTAATTTGCTCTGGGGTTTACTTATGATTAAATCTTGAACTATCTCGCTGTCAATTATATTTTGATAAGTATAGCAACTCTAAGGCGAACACATTTACACATTAATTCTGAACGCCTCCTCAAATTGTTGCATTAGGACGCGATATTTTTCTTAAAATAATATTGCCAAATATACTTCAAACTTTGGCAATTTATTTATGACAACTATTTCTGATGAATGACACTATTTCGACATGTTTTGGACGACTAAATAAATACACTTTCATATATCAATTTCTATTCCGCTAATATTAAATATCAGAGACAATATAAGTACAACATATCGCAGGCGTTTATGCAACATATATATACGATTACAGTGCGATACATATGTTGTTTTTGAGATTCAGAAATGTTTTGAAGAAGGGGGGGGGTGAGACACCAGCAGTTAGATCATAGGCGTAGTAATAGGGGGACTAATGTCCCCACCGCCACTTTTGAAGAGGGGGCGGTCAAGGGTATTTTTGTGCTCCTTCCTCCAGATTTTTTTTTACCTGAGTAAATATCTCCCGAAAATAATGACGAATACTCGTAGTTGGAATATCAAATCTCTTTTTTTTCTATTTGCTTGTCAAATATTTTACTTGGTTTAACACCCCCCCCCCCCCCCGAACTTTGTGACTAAGCTTATGCAGATTGTCCACGATGATGAGGAATGATGAAGCAAAAATGATATTACGTCCTTCTAAGTAATAAGACGTTAGATTTGATCTGCTGATATTGACATTTTATCTAATATTCTGTCATGATTCACTGTTTATATTTTTTGCGGGGGGGGGGGGGGGGGGTCCAAGCTGTGCAGATTCACGTAGACCTATTTGAGATTCACGTCTATTTGGCGGATCCTATGTTTACCACATGGTGACAAAACAACAAACCAGAATTTACAACACACAAAAAAAAAGTTTACAGAGTTTACAAAGCCAGTTCACTTTTATAACCTTTTTAATTAGGATTGATCAACGAATAGGACTAATACTATACAATGTACATGTATTACAAGCCCGTTATGCATAAATTATCCCACGTTTCCAACTATCGTTGATGCCCCTGGCATACTCTACTAACTAGACAGTGATTCCTTATATTTCCATTTCATTTTGAAATAAAATTGTAAATTTTGATTTACACGAGGCCTCACATGTCAATTTCAATAGTCTCCGCCCACTGACGTCAAACACAAAGACAGCGGCACGAGAATTACATGCATATTAGGCCTCCTTAAGAGTCTGACACAAAGACAGCCGCACGAGAATTACATGCATATTATGCCTTCTTAGCTACTGACCTTTCGCTTGGCAAAATTTGCATTCCGTTAGAATGATCAAGAAATCAACTCTCCTAACTTTCAAAGAGTTATCACAGAGAAAACAAATAGAAATGGAAATATTATTAATAAAACATTGAAGCAATGTCGTTAATTATTTTCCTCATCACAATAGCACAATATTTATTATGTATACTTTGCATGCAAGCATATAATTTTTGTTTCAAAAAGAGATTGATGATTTTTTTGGGGGGTGGGGGTGGGGGTGGGGGGTTATAAATAGAGGATATTCAATGTTTTGTAGTTGATATGGAATTTATTCCAAGAGTGGGACAGGATTTTTTTTATATTTTCACGAGTGAAAATATCAAAAATCCTGTCTCACGATACAATACATATTTCTAGGCATAATTTATGCTTGAAATACACCTTAATTAATGCGTATCATATTGTAAACTTTAGATATTAAACTTTCATTCTATCACAAACATGTCAACTGTTTTTACTATTGTCAAAGTGAGGCATGTGAATTTCCTACATGCACTACATTTCAGCCTGGTGACCTTCATCTTTTTATTGTGGCTTCCGTAGAATAAAGAGCCCCAAAAGTTTTTTATTCTATCACATTGATAATAACGCTTAAAATACATATTGTACATGAGATTTCATGCCAAATTGGTAAATTAAAATGTTTCTTTCTTTTAATAAACAAAAGAAATATATAAATTATTAAGTGATAAGTACAGTATTAGTTCTTGAAATTCATCATATTTATTATTGCGGGGAAGGAGGGATTGATGATAAAAACAATGTGAATTAATTTTTTTGTCAGACATTGAATTTTGATCTTGCCCTGCCCCTTTAAGACGATAAAAATGAACTGGTATAATTTCTTAATTGTTAACAGGCAAGGAATTTTCAAAATATGGACGTTAAAGCCTAACAAATGGTATCATACCGACATTAGTAATTCGGAATATATAAAATAATGGGATTATTTCTATGCATTTTTTATTGCGACAAATATTACGCAAAAATTATCATAATTTTAACATAGTCAAGAAAGCTTAACAGGCCAGTTAAATCAGCCATAATATATCATTTTTTTCTGATCTCCTTGTACAAGTTGACAACATTTTGACGTTATATCCATTCCATTTGAAGATGACACTAATTCTATTTTGCAATTTTAAGGTATAACACAACAACATGAGGCGGTCATAAGTTTCCGTATATTTGTCTTCGGTCTTTTCAATGAACAATACTAATCAAAAGCATAACACAAAAACTAGTATACTGTTGTTCCATAAAATCTTTATCAGGCACACTTCAAACAAATTTGATCGCCTGGCTTCTGTTTATTTCCTATAAATAATAGTACATGTATATTCTTTACTTAGATATATCAACTCTTTAGATCAATTTTTATCTCGCTATAACGAGATAACTAACTCGTTATAACGAGAAAACTAACTCGTTATAACGAGATAACTGACTCGTTATAACGAGATAACTAACTCGTTATAACGAGATAATTATCTCGTTATAACGAGATACTAACTCGTTATAACGAGATAACTTACTCGTTATAACGAGATACTAAGTCGTTATAACGCGATACTAAGTCGTTATAACGAGATACTAACTCGTTATAACGAGATAACTAAGTCGTTATAACGAAATAATTATCTCGTTATAATGAGATAACTAACTCGTTATAACGAGATAATTAACTCGTTATAACGAGATACTAACTCGTTATAACGAGATAACTAACTAGTTATAACGAGATACTAACTCGTTATAATGAGATAATTATCTCGTTATAACGAGATAACTAACTCGTTATAACGAGATACTAACTCGTTATAACGAGATAACTTACTCGTTATAACGAGATACTAACTCGTTATAACGAGATACTAAGTCGTTATAACAAGATACTAACTCGTTATTATGAGATAATTATCTCGTTATAACGAGTTAAATATTTTTTTTGTCTTGTCAAAAATGAGCCTATCCGGCTTTCGTAGAAACCTATATGTGAACGAGTATGAAAACTTACTAGATTCAAACAATCCAATATGGAATATACTGAAGAGGATAAAAACTATTTGTGTTGCCAAAGAAATGACTTCACAAACTCTATAACCCATTTTCAGAGCCAAAGGCTGAGGTGATCCAAAAAATAAACAGATGTACAATGCAAAATTATGTAGAAATGCTTCGTGTCTCGTTTGATCTGATGATCCACACCTGTCAACTTGACATGATACAGCTCTTCGGATCAAGTTACTTTTATAATAATATAAATAGATTTGATGAAAACCTCAAGATTTTTTTTACACTACTTAATGATGCTTTAGAATTCAGGAATCTTACCCCTGATCCAGTTCTGTAACAAGCTGCCACTTATCTGACGTATTTGAAGTCTGTCCCCATGTGTAAAGAGAGATTCTTCCATTGTCCAGACCTGCTGCCACAAGATGTCTGAAAGGCATTAACAATTTGGTGAAATTCACAAATGATATATTATGAAAAAGGTTGGCATTTGTAAAATGCTTGAATTGACTCTGAAATATGATAGGAATAATACTGATGTTGCACAAAACCTTGTTATTTTGAAAATTAGAAAACAATGTGTTTATCAATTTGTCACATGACATTCATTTCATGAGGTTGTCTATTCGATAGAAAAAAGGGTACTTGTCTAATGTATCAAGCCTTGCCTTTCTAACCTAGGATAAAATTTGCCTTGAGGCCAAAAACATAGTGCTAGTTCCCAAAAATAAAGTACAGTTTTAATAAAAAACATACATGTAAGTGATTTACTAATGGAAGTTTATCAAACACGTACCTTTTATCAGGTAGTGAGTTCCTAGAAACATCTATTGCGGTGACTGAATCAGACAAAGTGACCGAGTCCACAGGTTGAAGGGCAGAGCTGGGATCTTCACAAAGACCTGGGTTCTGCCAAACAATTATCTAAAAAGAGATAAAAATAATATTACACTGAATAAGGAAAACACTGCCCAGATATAATTGATATTCCCCCATTTTTCTCCACAAAATTGAAAAATATTTTGTACCATAAATTATGCCTGCACATAAAAAGTATACAAAGACATCAAAAAAGTACACAAATTTGTCTTCAAAAATACAGATAAATCTTAATATTTTACAAATTAATTTTCCCTTGGTTATTGTAAATGATATGAACTTTAAGTTGTGGCTTTCTGAAGTGTGACCTTTTTGTCCCGAGATGCCGTGTAGAAATTTTTACTGTCTGGGCTCCAGGCACAGGACCAGATAATCCTTGAGTGTACTGCAGATTTTTTGTCTGTTCCCAACAACTTTGTAAACAGAGGATCTGAAAGAATTCATCTCATCAGACCTTATGTCATTTGTAAATTGAAAAACAATCATAAAAGATACAGCTCACAAAATAAATATTTAAAAAAAATATGTGCAGAATTTGTCCCTTTCCATCAATTTTTATCACTACCCACTACACATATCTCTCCCAGATTTTCAAATATCATTTAATTCTGTCATTTTAAAAAAGAAACATTCCTTTACTCCAACAAAATATGCAGGCGTGCTTTTTTTTTTTAATTTGTATATCTTGACTTTCTGCTTCTTTTTTAAACAGGTTTGCAATTCCTATCATTTGCAAAAAAATAAATAAAAAATATACAGATAATCTTTTTCCAAAAACTCTGATCTAAGCAACATACCAGACTCAGGCTGATCATGTGACTTTTTGTTGTACACTGCCCAGGTTCTGTCCCTTGATACAGACAACAGAAAGTTACCACAGTGTGAGAACGCCATCTGTGTTACAGTGAGAGTGTGAGCACTCAGGGTGCATAACTGTATCCAGTTAGTTGTATCCCAGAGAATAATCCCTGCAAACTCTGCTTTAGCTGCCTATGAATATTAGAGGCACACGTATGTAATGTATAATAACAGATGAACTTCCATATCTAGACCACCGATATTTCGAATACCATGGATATGTCAAAGTGATTTGGAAGTCCCAATTTCTTTCTATATATTTTAACTTCAATATCTCAAATCCTAGGATATTTCCAAGATTCTTCTAGATCCATTGGGTTTGAGTTAACTAGGTTTGACTGTAATTTGTATTGATCAGAAGTGAGAACTGCTCAAGGAAAGAACTACATGTACATGAAAAACAGCTATAAGTATTACTTTGTATAATTGTACACATGTACATACTTTATAAAACAAGCTGAAGTATACACAAAATTTTGCAAGAAAATAAATAACTTAAGATACATGGTTGTCAAATTTTCTTTTATGAAAACATCAAATGCAGCTCTGCCAAGACACCTTTATTTTATAACACGTGTATATATAAAATGGCAATACTAATAAATTGGGGGAAATTGTGAAATTGAAAATTGGCACATTAGTTCTCCATGATTCCAAAGCTGAAAATCATTTTCACAACTTCTTTTCCATATATATGATTATAAATTACATCTGCACAAATTTGGATGCTTTTTGCATTAATTTTACCATCATACTAATAATTAAAAGGGAGGTGGAACTTTCAAGATAAAACTCTACTAATTTTTCGTTTTTACATGTTCACCGACAGAGCAATGAGTTTAATAGAAAGTAAGTGAAATTTTTTTTAAAGAAAATCTCTCTTTGCAAAAATATTTTCATTCCATGGCAAAATGTCTGTTAAAAAAAATTTGAGGTCTCCAACATTTATCATGTTTATGTCTTCTAACATAGTTTTGTTTATTTAGTAATACATGTGTATATGGATTTATAAAGAATAGCTTAACCTTGACAAGAAGTTTCAGATAGTCAGTCTTTCTTGATATATGCCAAATGGGCAAGGTACTATTATTATTGTCAAAAATCAGTATATGAATGACTTTAAAAAAAGTTGTCAATGAATATATAAGTTTAAAAGACATTATTAAAGACTCCAGAGATCAGTCCTATGGCATGATAACAGTCTTTCTTCAAAAATGAAACAACTAGATGTCCTGAGCCCAAATGCATGCAAAGAAATTTTGTCTTGATAAAAAAGAACATTAAGAAAAAAGAAATATGTACCTTGCAGGATGATGCCAAGATTTTACCGGTGGGATCACTGGCGAGAGAGAAGATCTCGTACCCGTGTCCATACAGTTTCTGGGTCTCTGGCCACAGTGTGTTCTGTAGAAGTTGTTCCTCTGTGGGAGGCTCTGTAAATACCCCCAAAAAATTAATTAAATTACTCCAAAGAATTACCACATGTCCTTTTGTGCTTTTATTAACTGTATAAATTGATACAATTTCTTTAAAATGGTACAAACTGTTTTTTTTTAATCTGCATGTATGTTCTGAAAAAATTGTATGATGATACTGTTGGTTAAAATCCACAAATAATGCCTCTTGTTCAACATGATTTCTAATTACTCTTTTTTTTTTCTAAAACTTTATTTCAAAGTCTTTCCATATTTCAGAGAAGAAATACTTCCTTTACATAATAAGCACATTAGATTAAATTTCTGCTTGACAAGAACACATGTGGTAAATATGAAAAAGTGAACAATTAATTGATATGCATTTAATTCCTAGAGCTTAGAATTTAAACCAACTTTGGGCATGAAGTAGGTTTTCCTATACATGTAGTGATAAAATGAACAAAAATTTCAGACATGATTGCCCTTTCAAACCAGTTGAATCTAAATTGTTATCAATTTCAAGGACTCAATTTCTGTCTCTTCCTCAAAGGGGGTATGCCTCTTCCTCAAAAGGGGAGGGGGGAGGTAACTTTAACAGAATTCCCAAGAAAGCTGACAAAGATGTTTGAAACCAACATCAGTGAATCTCAGTCATTGGACAAAACTTGCATTGCATTACTTAGTCACCTGTCAGTGTCATGGGTGAGAAGTAAACCTCTGGGTATTGGTCATTAGGGTGGGGCTGCATCTCCCGGTCAGCGGAAATCTTCTCCCCTCCAAACACAGCTTTATTGGAAAGCCCCAGGGCTGGGACACTTGCTCCCTCTGGGCGATTTTGAGCCTCCTGTGATGGTGATACAGATTTATAGAATGCGGGATAGTAAGCATGATAGTCTTTTAGCATGTTCAGAAAGACAATTACACATACTTTTGAAATATGTTGTACATGCATTGAAGCATGAACCATTTATGTTCACAAACAAAGTACATGTACTTGTAATTGTTCATTTTCCTGATGAAATAAGACATCAGTGTGTGTTTTTTTTCTACAACTTTTTCACAAATTAATTTTAAATAAGTTCATTCTGAGAAATATAATCATAAATCTAATTATAAAAAGCAATGTAATAAAAATAATCTAGCAAAAATTGCAAATTAAATGATGCATGAATTAATATACTGTATTTGTGCCTTATATTTTAGCCTGTTTGTTTAAATTAACCACAATAATTCAATTAAAATGAACTTACAAACTTTCACGCAGAATTTTATTCCTTAAGTTTTAAAGTGATCACATGTATTACAATGCAATGAATAAATTGTACATCTAGATTGATTTTACTTTTTTTAATGAATTTGAGAAATCTTACCTCTTTTTGGAGTTCTCTCTTCAAGTCTTTACCACACAGGGTACAGAAATTCTCGATAAAATTTCTCGGCGCTTCAAATGCCCTTATCACTTTCTCATCGGCACCCGAGGCAAACTTGTACCGATTGATGATGGTTAAACACTGAAGGTCGTAACCATGCACTTGTGGACGGGCTATCTCATACCAAATCTCCTGTAACAAATAAGAATTATAGTGAAACTTTTTTTAATCCAAATACTGTATAATTAAACAATAAAATGCTTTCTTTGGTTGTTAGTACGGGAATTAATGTCGCAGCTATTGCAGAAAAAATACATAACCCGCATAAGCGGGTTATGTAAATTTATAAAAACATTCAAAGTAAAATTAAACATGTTAAATATTGTATTATAGAAGTGTATGACATTGTATGTATAATTGATGGAACAGCCGTTGCTCAGGAAATCTATGCAGGTGGCTTGCTTAGTGTTGTTTACTCACTGATAAACGGCAATGGGTTTCTTAAGAAATAAAGGAAATAATATTCAGTGGATGTAAATATTCCAAAATATTGCATATTATAGTGGAAACTTTTAGTCTATTTTGGTAAATTTAATTGTTTAAAATGTCTTATCCGAAATGGTGTCTAATTCGGCCAATTTCTATGAAACCAGTGGTGTCCAGATTAGAAAAGTTTTACTGTGCATTAATAAACCACATCTAAACTATCAGTTGAAAAAAAAAAAGGTTTTTGAAAAGTATTCCATAATTTTTATTTATTCTTTTGTACATATATTTATTCTTTCCAACTGAAAATAGATAAAAGGTGAAACTCACTATAGATTTTTTATTATTTTTTTTTTATATATATACCTAGCAATTTTGAAAAAAGAATGTGAAACTTGTTAACTAAGTATTAAAATTAAATGACACTAGAGGTGTAGACAAAAGAAGAGATTTCCTTTCAATAAGAACAGTTTATACTTTAATAAAAACACATCAACTTTCTCTTACTCAAACACTTGCAGTCTATAAATACAAACCTTTCCTTGTTGGTGTATTGTTGGAGCATGAAGTCGCGTGGTTTGGTCCTTGGAGACGGTCACCACGAACTGACCCCCTGTGTCCCAGCCTAGGTCCTCCACTTCATCAAAATGACCACTGCCAGTGACCACTGGCCGCCATTGGTTACTACTCTGTTGGGGGGAAAAAACTTCCAAGATGATAACTTGATAATAAATTTTCATGGAGCTTTCTTGTAATAAAAATATCCATTTTCAAATTAAGAACCTTGCATTACTGTGAAAATGGTATTCCAGAAACAAGCATACCATATTTTTATTGGACTGAAGTACAGTTTCATTGACACTGTAAGCATATATATGTAATACCAAATGCATACAATATAGTAACAAAGGCACATGCATAATAACTTTCATTTTATAGGAAAATCTTTATGAAAAAAAGTATATTTCCAAACATTAAAACAATTTCAAATGAAATACAAATTATCTTTCACATGTACATTGTTAGGTAAGTACATGTACACATTTTTTGTAGAATATGAGATTAGCACATGCTTTCATATCTGCTTACAAAAAACATGAAAAATACATATATTTTAATGTATCTAAAGTGTTCTCCTTACCTCATTATATGACCATTGATGGAAGGCACCCTGGTAACCATGGGCAATAATGGACCTGCCATCCGGTGCAAACATTCCTCCATACAGTCCCAAGGTGTTCCCGCCCACCTCTCCTACTCGTACCTGTCAATTACAAACAGTTCCTACAGTACATGTACATGTATAACAAAGCCATGTTCTAATTTTAGTGATATTGTATCAGAGTCTATCATTCTACAAAATTACGTTAAAAGTATAAGCATTATGTATTGCTTTCCAGCAATACTTGAAAAGATTTCAGATGTCAGTATTGTGAACAAAATTAAAATGCCATGAAATAATTTTGTAGCCCTACAGGGAATGTTTGCATTCCCTAACTCTACTTACTTGTTCAATCCACACCCCTGACTCTGGATCAGGCATCCAGATGATCATTGTCTTATCCATGGAAGCTGAGAGCAATTTCATTGGTTGGTGACTGGATGTTTCTGTGACAACAGGAGGTTGCCATCGAATACTGTAAATCCAGTTCTCATGGCCACTTAACACAGATTCCAGACTCACTGCGAAAGTATGCTTCTTTTCTGTTTTAAATAAAGAAATATATATTGTAGCTTAAGAATCAGCCATTCTACAAGTGTCCTTATGTGGGTAATGCAGGGATTTTAAAATATGTTACAGTAACAAACTCTTATGTATTTTATCTATTAAGTGTCGAAAGCACATATAACATGAATAAAATTAAGTTGCAAGATATGAAATTTAAGGTGAAAGTTTTTTATCATTTCACAAATGAAAATGCAACACATTTGTTTACATGAAATAACATAAATTTTTAACCTTTATATATAAATGAAAAGGTGTTTTCCCTAATTTTGATCTCTTCATCTATGGACAACTCCTGCACAGATTTGTTCACATCATCGATTCCTGCCTGTCGCCGTGACAACCTCCAGATTCTGATGAGGTAATCTTGACCTGCACTGGCCAGCATGACATCTCCATTATCTGTCCAAAATTCATACATGTATCAGTTTTCTGTCTCCAAAGAGCAGATAACTCTCATGATCCCAGAAGATGATGTATAAATCACTATATTATTTGCTTGTTATAATTTTCATACCCTCAATACAGAAGTCCACTGCTCTCACCCAGTCTTCATGTCCTTGGAGGGAGATCACCTTGTTAAAAAGCTTCAATAGATGTGTGAATGTTTTGTTATTAAATGAGCATATTTTATCTCTATTACATATTCACTTGTATTTTAAAGATGTCTATTACATGTACTTAACAATTTTTTAAGGTATCTTTTTAAAACTTGGTTTCATTAGGGCAAATACAGATTACCCCGGTACATTTAAAGTTTTACATACATGTATAACATAACATTTAGATTTTACGATGCATCAGTACCTGGAATAATTTACAGTCATCCTGTAAGCTATATAAATGAATTTTATGGTCATCACATCCACATGCCAAAAGAGGAACTGCAAAATAATACCAGTACATGTACAGCAAAGCAGGATGATTACAATTATACTCGTAAATTAATTGAACATGTTGAAATGCAAACATGTACACAATCAAGAAAATTATTTTTTTTTAAATGGAGAAATGCATTTATACTTTATTTTATCTCAGCAATAGTTTTTGAATTATATATCATTTTTCACCTACAAATTTTCATAGAACAAAGGTTGGAATGTTTGCAAATATATGTCACATGTAATTCAAGAAACTTCTTTTAAACTCTAAAATTAAGAAAAAGTCTTTCAAGAATAACCAGAAAGCATGCACCAGAAGCTTGATTTCTTTTCATCAAAGGATGGAGATTTTTACAAGAATCTTCCCAAATGGCAGAGATTGCAACATTTTATAACCATGTATAAAATATGAGGAAAAAAATCTGAGTGAGACTGGTTCTGTATTTATTTTATATACTTACTTCCTGTGGATGGTAGACAGACAAGAGAGACATCTAGTACAAAGCCTGTCCCAAAACTGAGACACTGTAAGGGAGTGAAATCTGTGGGGAGAGAACAGTCAGTCATTTTAGTTCACATCCTACAACTGTTCTTTGACAGCTATAACATAACTGGAAGTTTTGACAATGTGATGAGCAGATGAGATTGATGAGTGGTTAATAATTGGCAATGTTCCCAATTGTCAAATATTTCATCAGTGTTAAAGAAAAATATTTCAACCGTCAAATATTTCACAGTAAGAATTAAGAAATAGTCTAACTTTTAACAAAGCAATATAAGTTAACCATGTTTACAGTATCAAGCACTTTTAACAAGAGCAATTAGATTTTCTTTTTTTTTATTTGGTAAATATATTACTAAATAATATGACCTCTTTAGACAAAAAAAAAATACACTTTAAATTAAAAACTTATGAACAATGTATTTTTTTTTAATGTGAAAAATCTTACCTTGATGCATTTCAATAACAATATATATAACCCTTACCATTTGTTCCAGAATCCTTCCATATCATTAACTGAGAATCTGTTGCACCTGTGACAATGTAAGTCACATTCTGATTGGTAATTTCTATACCATTCACTGTTGTGATTGGTCCAGAGTGAAAATCAAGTACTGCTACAGGGTCATACTACAAAGATCAAACAGATTTATTGCCTTGCAAACAAAAAGAAAAATTCTTTTCATGACATACAAGGGAAAATGCACTAAAAGTTATATTTCACCTTTTTTTTTCTAAACACTCTATGAAAAGATTGATATATACATGAAATGAACCTTATGATCAACTCTAGACAAAATTATTCACATTTATTTGCTTCTGAGACTGTTAGAAAATAAATAATGAAAAAGGATATTTAAGACAATGTATAAATTTTTAAGTTTTAAGGTTTCTTTTGGATTATGCAGGTACATGTAACATTGAAGGTTCCATATTCCTGTCAAAACCCAACTTTATTGAACATCAGTATCTCGAACACAGATATCTCAAATATCATGGATATGTTGAAGTGAATGGGAAGTCCTTACCATGTATTGCTTAAGTATTTTACCATTGATATCTCAAACCTTCGGATATCTCAAAGTTTTTTTCTCGGTCAAATCGAGTTCGAGATAATGAGGTTTGACTGTATAATTTTAAAAGTTATAAAAACTATTAATACTTAATCAGGGTAGAAATGTTAAGTACCTTACCTGATCAACACCACACTTTTTCCAGACAATCGCTGTTTTATCCACGGAACCCGACACAAAACATTTATCAGATGCGAATGCTATAGTAAAAAAAAAAATCAAGACTTACTTTATTGTCAGTAGCAATATCAAGTTGTGGTCATTAAAATGAAATCACTTAAATTTTTTTTATGAACCTTATGCTTACCATTTGTATTTCGAATCCATTTGACACAGTTAACTCGACCAGTATGTTTAACTAGGGTATGAGAGATAGTACCATGTCCCTCTGCATAGCCCTAAAATTATTTTTGAAAAATTCTCTCTCAAAAATATTCCTGTCAGTTTTAAAAAACATTTATTCGTTGTAATAATTTTATTCTCTATAAAATAAAACTTTAATTATGTATGGCACAACACTGTATTGGTAATAATCTGCAGATCTAACAGATTTAGCTACGTAGCTTGAATTACCTACATGTACATAGCTTTATTTACCTACCTGAAGTAGCTTTATTTAGCTACTAAATCAAAATTATTTCTTAAATGAGCATTTTTCCCAGAAAGTGCAGAAAATTGCATTTTGATGCAGTGATAATTTTCAACTTTGAACTCATAAATCACTCTTGGAGATGTGTCCTTTTCTGCGCAATTGCAATCAAAGTTCTAAAAGTTTTGGGGCTATATACAACAGTTAATTTGTGATCTAACAGTAACTTCTTGAGTGAAATAACAAAGAAAACCAGTTTTGGTTAACATGAGCACAATGTGAAGTAATCATACTTATCCACGCCTCATCACACACCAGGTGGTGTACAGCTACTCAAACAATGGAAATACATATTTTCCTTAAAAGTGTTCAAACGCAGCAATGTTAAAACTACCTCTGCTTCAGACTGCTTTTTGAATAATACCTAGAATATATATTAGTGGACATTTACTTGCGACTTTTAGTCTTTTTAAAATAAAAAGCAAAATTGTGAAAAGTTGCCTTGAAATAGCTAAATAAAGCTACCTGAGGTAGGTAAATAAAGCTACGGTAAGTAAATTTAGCTACGTAGCTAAATGTACTGATTGTACCGGTATCAGGTTCGTTCGCCCTGTCTACCTGTTCGCATGAGTCCGTTCGCGCAGGGTCCGTTCGCCTTTATTCTCGTTCGCCCTATTATATATATATACAGTATATAGTAAATATCAACATTTATTATTAATTTTATTCAATATTTTACGACTTTGTGTTTTTTTTCAAATGTTGCTACGGGTATTTTTTTTTATTTACCGTAATCTTAATTAAATAATTCAAATTTGATATTTATGCTCTTTACATGCTTAATTGATTTAATTATACTTAATAATGTCACTGTAATTTAGGGGATCATACAATCTGCGTTATGTTTTGAAAACAATTAAAGGACTGAGACGTTAATTTTCTGTTGGTCTGCCGGGTCTTTGATAGTACAGGTACCACATGCATACGTCTGTTGTCTCCCGTGCGCAATTTATGTACCAAAGTACATATAATTTATTTTAAAAAATCCATTGGGTCATTATTCAACTTTCTGCAATATAAATAAGGCGAACGGACCCTGGGCGAACAAGTTTTAGGGCGCTCGAACTCTGGGCGAACGGGAATAAGGGCGAACGGCGTCAAGGGCGAACAAGTTTTAGGGCGCACGAACATACAACCGATTGTACTGGACCTGTCTAACACAAAAAATATGAGTAATTTCCTTACTTCTGGATGGTAAATCACTACGGCATGACAAGCTCCATAGCAGACATTCCCTGAAGACGACCAATCAACACACTGCGGTGTTCTGTTACACCCACAGCTGATGTAAATAGGCTCAATATCAACCATGGTCAATCAATTCTTCATCATGCTGATATTTTCAACACCGGATATAGTATAGTGGAAACTAAAAGCAAAGTAAACACGGCAAGCGTATCGATGCACAGAAATTTTTCAAACTTTTCAGGCACATTTTCTTACCTTAAATGCATTCATTAATACATAAAAACCTTTACAAATTTACGTATTTAATACTGAATCAGCGGTATCACCTGCCAAAAAAGCGGTCAAATCTAGTACTCTGTTATAAATGCGAAAACCAAAGACGGACATCGATCTCTGTTATGTTGTCTCTGATGAATGTCAGACACCTCGGCCCGACGACACCTCGGCCCATTGACATTTCGGCCCAATGACACCTCGGCTCAAACGGGTCGGCCCAAGATTGTGACAGGTCGGCCCATTCATAAGACACCTCGGCCCATGCAAAATTTTACCATGAAATATATATTTCTTATTTTGGGACTTGAATTAAATATTTATTGAAAAAATGTACATGAATAAACTATCAAGATTTTTTTTTCAAAAGAACTTCCACGGGCACTTTGACGATATTCAATGAATGAGAAGCCAATGCTATTAATTAATTAAAGTGCTAAATGATAAACAAGTAATATGCCGCGGCGCATCCTTTGGTATTGGTGACAACAGGGGGTTAATTACGAGCAGAGTTAGTAATTAAAGACATTTACATATATTGAATATTTTCTCATTTATTTCTTATAAGAAAAACACTTCCATTCATGAATTTATTATCGTCGCTTATACCTAGTTCGAGTCCGTCTTTTCTTTCTTTTTTTTTCAAGCTCCTTGTATCATGCAAAGCAAATATGTACGTATGCTTCCCCCCCCCCCAAAAAAAAAAAAATGAAAAAAAAAGAAAAGAAAAGAAAAAAAGAAACATATATACAATGAAGTCATATAGATCGATCTATATAAACAATAAAATATTTCTTTTTAAAAAAAACAAGATTAAGACCCCTATTTTTTTTTAATTTAAAACAATCGTTTAATCGTCAGAAAAAATAATTACAGCAATAATACCAATTCAAACTGTCTACCACATCGATACATAACGGAGATGTGAGGTTTCTTAGATATTACAAAAAGATATTAATTGGTAAGAAATTTTTTTTCTCAAAAAGATGGATTTAGTATTTCAGTGAATGCGGGAATAATTGCATGGTGTAATCAATTTAAAAAATAATAATTCTATAATAATCCATAACATCAAAGTGATTTTAAAAACACTGGTAGAACTAGTGACCTAGTTAGCATGTGTGTATGCACAGCAGAAAAGACTTGAATTTCTCAATAATTATTTCTTACGCTAATCTTCCGAGGGTAAAAGGAATCCCGCCCATAAAGATAATCACGTACAGTGAAAAAACAAAAATACATAACTTGTTGACCTGCAGTTTCACTATTCTCTATTGAGAAGTTGATGGCTCGTAATGAGGGGGAGTATTAAAACGAGCCATCAACTTCTCAATAGAGAATACAGTTTTACAAGAAGTGACGATTCTTTAATATGACCCTGGTTTATAGCTATTAGGTCACAGAAAAAAAAATTTCCCAGTCACAAACCAAAATAATCTAGTCTTTGAACAACATAACCTAGTCACTGTGAAACTTAACTCAGTCACTGGAAAACCTAACCTAGTCACTGTTCAACATATTATACCCAGTCAATAACATAACCAATTCACTGTTCAACTGTGAGATAATGAACACACATAATTTAGTACATATTCAGCATTGTTCAGGGTTTTCTAAATTTATTTAAATCCTATTTTACAGCTTTGAAATACACTGTAAAAGATGATTAAAAAACTTACTGACTATAACACTTTTCTGGCAGAAATGGGTTTTTAGGTTTTAATTTCTTTTTTTTGGCAATCACTTTAAAATGTTACAAGTGAATCTCTCAAAACTGCACTGTTCTAGCTTTTCTTTCTCTTTTTCTTTCTCAATTGCGAGCTTAAATGAAACAACATAATCCAGTCTCTCAACAACATAACCCAGAGAGAAACATAACCCAGTCACTGTACAACATAATCCTGTCACTGAGAAACATTAGTTTTTGAAGAACATTACCCAGTCACAGAGAAACATAATCCAGTCACTCAACAACATAACCCAGTCACTGTTTAACATAACATAGTCACTGTTTAACATAACCCAGTAACTGAACAACATAACCCAGTCACTGTTTAACATAACCCAGTCACTGAGGAACATAACCCAGTCACTGGGGAACATAACCCAGTCACTGAACAACATAACCCAGTTACTGTTTAACATAACCCAGTCACTGAACAACATAACCCAGTCACTATTTAACATAACCCAGTCACTGAACAACATAACCCAGTCACTATTTAACATAACTCAGTCACTGAACAACATAACCCAGTCACTGAACAACACAACCCAGTCACTGTTTAACATAACCCAGTCACTGAACAACATAACTCAGTCACTGAACAACATAACCCAGTCACTGTTTAACATAACCCAGTCACTGTTCAACATAACCCAGTCACTGAACAACAAAACCCAGTCACTATTTAACATAACCATGTCACTGAGGAACGTACCCAGTCACTGAGGAACATAACCCAGTCACTGTTTAGCATAACCCAGTCGCTGAACAACATAAACCAGTCACTGAGAAACATAACCGAAGCATTGAATATGAATTAATGTGCATAATTTGGTCTCCATATATAAGGCATATATACAAAAGTGGGAAGAAAAATAATTTATTTGACACAGTCATTATTTGGAACATAAACTAATGTTAAGCCTTTTTCTAGAGCTCTTCTCCCAATTTTTATACAAATTGGGTTTAGTCACTGAGGGACTTAAAGATAAAAATAACATAGATCAATTAATCCTAGGGGAAAAAATAGCCAGACAATATTAAGACCATACACTTGTATTACATGGTACTATTTAAGAAATAATGCATGGCTACACAAGTGTTCCTTTTAAATTACACCCAAATCCAATGGTATGAATTCTGCATGTGAAATTCATTTCACTTGTCAGAAAAACAAAACTTTAATAGATATTTTCAAAGTCAAATTACATCAAATTTTATCAATTCTTCCTACATTTAAACCAACATTTCTAGTAGGAATTAATGACAAAACGCGGTATTCAATTTGTCGGCACGGCCAGGTGTGTTATAGGACCGACGACATCCAAAAATAAGAATTCAATGCTTATATTTTAATACATTCTCTAATTTTCTATCTTCATAATTGTATATTTCGTTAATCCTTATTATGAATTTAACGTCTTTCAGAACTGGTGTGCTTAATAGACGTAAGAGCCGTTTAATTGTGACGTTGGAAAGTTAAATAAGTTAACGCAAATGAACATAGCGAGAAAAAAATGACAAATTAATTTTAAACGCACAGTTGTTGTATTTTACGTTAATTTAACAGGGTAGTTTTTTTTTTTTTTTTAATTAAACTGAGTCAAAACAATATACATTTTGTTGTTCCTAGATATTGAAAATGCATATAGTTCCTACTGTGTATTCTACCACGCGGTGACAAGATTTCGCGTGTGTTATAGAGATTTGAACGTCGTAGATTTCTAATGGATTTCATAAACAAAATTACACTGAATGTAAATATATTGATTTGAATGCCATTTTCGTGTATACTCACGCGTAGAAATATGCACGGAGAAACTTGCGCTAAAGTGACGTCACAATGAGCTAGAGACGTTGATAAAAATGTAACGATATAGGGCAGCAAATAATTCAAACATTGAGTATATTTTTGGTGCATTTGCGAAAGTGAAAATTCGTCTATTACATGATGTTTGACGCTGGGCCCAACTAGGCTTAAATCCTGAACACATCAAGGGTATAAGAATTTCCCTGAAGCTCAGCGTATCCTTGCAATCAGTCCACATTTTCAGGTCCTCCTTTGTTGTGAATGTGGTTCACAATTCATAACCTTTCCAAGAACCGTTTGCAAAATTAATGTGAAAAGTAAACGATTTCTTAAATATCATAAAAATATGTAAAGAATTCAATTTCATAACCCAGTCACTGAACAACATAACCCAGTCACTATACAACATAACCCAGTCACTGAACAACATAACCCAGTCACTATACAATATAACCCAGTCACTGAACAACATAACCCAGTCACTGAACAACATAACCCAGTCACTGTTTAACATAACCCAGTCACTGAACAACATACTTAGTAACCCAGTCACTGAGGAACATAACCCAGTCACTGTTTAACATAACCCAGTCACTGAACAACATAACCCAGTCACTGAACAACAAAACCCAGTCACTATTTAACATAACCAAGTCACTGAACAACATAACCATGTCACTGAAGAACATACCCAGTCACTGAGGAACATAACCCAGTCACTGAGGAACATAACCCAGTCACTGAACAACATAACCCAGCCACTGAGAAACATAACCCAAGCATTGAATATGAATTAATGTGCATAATTTGGTCTCCATATATAAGGCATATATACAAAAGTGGGAAGAAAAATAATTTATTTGACACAATCATTATTTGGAACATAAACTAATGTTAAGCCTTTTTCTAGAGCTCTTCTCCCAATTTTTATACAAATTGGGTTTAGTCACTGAGGAACTTAAAGATAAAAATAACATAATGATAGATCAATTAATCCTAGGGGAAAAAAATAGCCAGACAATATTAAGACCATACACTTGTATTACATGGTACTATTTAAGAAATAATGCATGGCTGCACAAGTGTTCCTTTTAAATTACACCCAAATCCAATGGTATGAATTCTGCATGTGAAATTCATTTCACTTGTCAGAAAAACAAAACTTTAATAGATATTTTCAAAGTGAAATTACATCAAATTTATCAAATTCTTCCTACATTTAAACTAATATTTCTAGTAGGGATTAATGATAAAACAGTCTGGGTCTGGTGTGGATTTGATTTGAATGATTTCACAATTATTAGAGTTTATGAGTTCATCTAGAGTAACCAAGTACAATTGA